TGATGACCCTCATCTCCCCCTTTCTACATTTAAGTTATAACCATCACTCCGATTGCGCAAGGTCGGACACCCAACATTTCTACTCGAAACGGAAGTAAGCTCAACAATTATGAAACAGGAGATTCCTCGAAACCCAACTTTTCTTCGTATATTTATTACGACGTTCAGGTTGATGCAATCCACGAGACATCTTCCCTCGCTTCGGGTGAAGACGGGCTAAGCTTTCGTCCATCATACGATGGGCATAAGCGGAGCTAAAACTCATTCTTGTAAAAGTCTCTCGTTAAAACCAGGTTAAAAAGGCTATCCGGCTCTATCTCACATCTAATATACACTCATAAATGAAAAAAAAACGTAAAGGACATGGCATGGCAAGATACAGAATGATTTTGCAAGCTACCTTTCATATTGGTACCACTACATTTGCTCAAGTGTGTTTGCGTGTTAACATCTCTACGCAATACCGCTCCTAAATCAGAGTGATAAAATAAATAGGCTAATGTCAGACTCTGGCCATCGAGGCTTAATAACCCAAGAAAGACCCCTCACCAAAACTGTATAAGTCTGTAGCAATTATGGTTGAGATAACGGGTCATTAAGCCTTGATGAGAATACCTGTTCGGAAGGAAGGTTACTTGAAATTGCATGGAAACGTGATTGTGAGAATATTCAATCATTAGTCTAGCATCACCTATGCGAACTAAGAGGGATAAAACTCTTTTGTAAGGATTAGTGATAATCTCGAATACAAATTTTATTGAAAAAATAAATAAATGAGTTGCTTTCACCCTATTTTGTTTAAGGTGATGAAGGACTGGTAGTTGATAAGACCTATGCGAGGTCGAAACTGCACTCCATCCTAGCTGAGAACATCTGTTGGGAAAGCAAGGCTATGTGAAATTCAATGAAAACATCAGCTCTACTCATATCAGTGTGAGAAAATTCTACTACCAGTCCTTCATCACCTTAAGCGAAATAGGGTAAACACAATTCATATATATGATTTACTGGTAGTCTAGAAAACCGACCAATTTACAAAAATAGAAATAAATGACTTCTACTCAACAAAAGCTTTATTCACCCCAAGTCATATGACGTGATGAAGTACAGATAATTATAATCCTCACATTCCGGTTGGGGATAATAATGAGGCCCAGACGTGTTCAAAACTACAGTTAAGCCTGGACTAGGAAACTTTTTGAGAAATGTAACTAAGTGAAATCAAATGGAAACTTGCCGTCTACTCATATCCACAATTCAATAAGTAGGTCTCACGACTCAATTTTAATTTTACTTGGCCTCTTGCCACTTAAAAGACGAACTTACACACTTACAACACTCGCACAAGTCACATAATTAGCTC